CTGTTCGATTTTTTGTCAGTCAGAGGACTTGCACGATATTTTTTTGTATGCATGTATATACATAATTTTTTAGTTTTTTGTTTTTACATTTTTCGGTATATAATAGGTAATTGGACAAGTACTGGTGTAAGACATTGTGTAGCCTAAATAATGAGAGGACCAGTATTCAAAAAATGGTTGTTCTCCATTTCTTTACTCCGACTCCTATGATGAACATGTACGTAAAAAAACTAGGGAAACTACGAGGTAAAGTAGGTGAAATTTTTATGGGACTCCACAAAAGGTGAGGATATAAGAGTGAGAGATTGAAATTGAGTAGGAAAGGCAACCCTACACGCCGCGTGGTTTTATTAAAGGGGGGGGGGTATATAGAATTTGCAGAGGAGAATTAGAAAGGAGAGTTTAGGGGTTCGGAAAATAATGTGAACTTTGATCCTCTACGTAGCAAAATCCACATCAGAACTAGCTATAGCTATCTATTGGTCATGTCGTATCATTCATTTACTAATCTCTGTTTTGGTTTTGTTATATAATTATGTACATGTTTTAATTATTACACCAGTACTCTTACACCACTGTCACTTACACCAGTACTCATATATTTTAAACAAAAATCAAACCATACACGGTGTTATCATTATTTTTATGTATCACTAATTGCCAAACGCCCCTATCCCTGTCTTATAAGCTCCTACACCACCAACACCATATTTGGATGAAATCACCTACAGTCACATGATCACCCTTACCATCACAATCATTCAAACTCACTATACCATTGAGTAAGTTAACCCTTAATTAAAGGACCTGCAAATTTGCTTCACTTCACCAATACGAACGATGAACAATAAAGTGCGTAGTGTTGGAATGTCCCGCAAACAACAAGACCTTTGGTAGGATAACTTGACTAATAACATGTATAGTCGTTACATCCTTTCACTGTGTAATTGGTTATTTTCAGTTATTTTGTAATAATTTGTTTTCCTCTTTGTCTCACATTATTTTCCGAACTCCTATAAACTCTCCTTCCTTCTCCTCTTCAAATTATATCTACACCCCTTCCCTCTTGAAAAACCCTACTGAAGAAAACTGTTAGGTCGAAATGCATACCCTTGTACGCTATTCCTACTCAATTTCAATCTCTAGCTCTTATATCCTTGCCTTTGATCGTGTCCAATAAAAATTTCACCTATTTTAGTTTCTACGGCCGTGATTTAATCGTAGTTTTCCTAGTTTTTTTACGTACATGTTCATCATAGGAGTCGCAGTAAAGAAACTAATAAAGAACAACCATTTTGGAATGATACTGGTCCTCCCATTATTTAGGCTACAGGGCTTTAGGAAGCTCTTTTTGATTTGGGGGGCTGAAAGCGAGGGCCGAAGGCCCGAGGAAATTTTTAAATTTAGAGTCTCTGAAATGCCATTTCCTGGACCTTGCAGTCCCCAGCTAGGGCTACACGCGGCCCTGGGCTACACGCGGAAATGCACCGAATGGCAAATAAGGATTACCACTCGAAAGTCTTGCTCGATATTTTTTTTCTTCCGTTTATTCTTGCACGATATTTTTTTTAAGTTCGAATTGCTTGCCCGATATTTTTTGGGGGATTCTACACACCCCCCCATCAAAAATCAAATGGTCCGTCCCTAAAGCTTCCTAAATTACAACTGGGAATTGATTTCTGTTCCCCCTCTGACATATATAATCAATGTAAACTGACAGTGCGCAGAATCTTGAGGACTTCTGTCAACTCCGATATTCAACAGCTATATACCAAAACGTTATCAAAAAACATCGTCACTGATGATATTATTGAACGGGCGGCTGCTGGTATCTCTGAATAATATATGTTAAGAAACGCTGCAAAGAAGATTCTGGTAAAGAAAAACCTTAACGAAATTTGGTCAAACTTTGTAGAACTAAAAGAACAATCCGTGATCATTACCTGCTTAACTGATACTTGCTATAAGAAGATGATTAAAGTATGGCACGAAATTGTCACTCGAATGCCCAGCAATATGGTATGCTTTGCTAGGAGAGCGTTAATTTTAAGTTTAGGAAATAATTCTAACCTAAAGCGCTGGAACATTCGTGACTCCGCCAACTGTGAGCTGTGCAACAAGTTACAAACCCAGCTACACGTTTTTTCCAACTGCAAGGTAGCCCTAGAACAACAACGCTATACTTGGCGGCATGAATCGATTCTGATGACTGTCCTAATTCACGTACGACCTGTACTTCAACTTTATTTCGAACGCTAAGACCTGATATAGTGGTGGATTTTAAGAGTTCTGTATATGTGGTTGAATTAACTGTTCCCTACGAAACCAATTGTACGAAGGCTAAACGTCGCAAGAAAGAAAGATACAGACATCTAAGATCTGAGCTGATCACGGCGTGTTATGCGTTTGAAGTTATTACACTTGAAGTAACCACTCTAGGGTTTGTGTCGAAAGATATTGACAGATTTCGTAGATTATTAGGGACCAGTCATTATTAATGCCGGGTAGGGGGCCGGAGGAAATTTAGAGGGGCCACAAAAAAATTTTGACCAGTGAAGGGGGGGCCAGAAAATATTTTGGACATAAAGGGGTGGGGGCAAAAAATGAAATCTATGGAATAATTTGTAACATGTAATATCAATTTGAAAAGAGTAATGGATATATACAGTATCAGGGTCTTAGCTAGGATCTTAGATCTTGGGCGTGTTTCTAATGACCAGGGCGTGCACATGTCAATTACCTTGAATAGCAAAATCACGGTTCTAGTTATGCTCGCCAACAACATGTTGTTCTATGCTTTGCAACCAGTTATTTCAGCAACTCCTGGGGTATTTAAAACCATTTTAACAGCATACAGTTCCCATTATCCATCAAAACATTAAACTCATCACAGATCACTTTTTCCAATTTCAACAACAACGGTAGATTTTACAAACTTTCTTACGACGTAAATAGGAAGAAATTCGGTCTGTTGTAAGTAGCAAGACCTTATTCTATGAACCTACACGGCCTTATATAAATAATGAAGGCGCGTTCATTTTATCTAGCCGTGTTTTTCCACTTTTGGTCGCGATAACACGGCCAACACGGCCCTCTAGCTAAGACCCTGTACATGCAGTATACATACATGCATTGAACAGTAATGACCAATATATTGGACCTAAAATTTGTGTTATAGCTACTTTATATGGAAATTGTCATCCTCATCATCACCGTAGAATTGGCTTCACGGAAAATTTTTGTATGTTTTGTCTATTGTGTCTATTGTGAAACTAAAGTCACTCCTGTCCACCTTGGCTATCATTTTCAATACTTACAATATTCTTTACAGCCGTGCAAGTAAACTGAGTATATGAGGGCAGGAAAAATGGTTACGTGACTGACTTAGACTCATTGAATTCAGAATGGGGGGAAGGGGGGGCTATGAAATATGTTGCCTCAATAAGGGGGGGATAAAATAATGTTGTTAGAAAAATAAGGGGTCATGAAAAATTTTTGCTATTCTTAAAAATTTCTTCCGGCCCCCTACCCGGCATTAATAATGATTTGTCCCTTACGAACACTTGAAATGAACGACGAACGTATTATTAAAAAATGTATGGAGGTAGCTCTGAGAGCAACATTCTACATTTACTGCAGAAGAAACAAGCCGTGGAATAACCCAGACTTACTGAATTTTTATTAGCTACTATTGATATGAAGTGTAGAGAATGGACCTATCTGTCTAATATAGTGAGCTGTTTCTCTATTTTCCTGATTTAATTGAAAGTCTAATTATGTGATATATTTGTATAAATTATCATGTTATTAATAAAGATTTCTGTTGTTTAAAAAAATTATTATTATTATTATTATCACGGCGTGTTATGCGTTTGAAGTTATTACACTTGAAGTAACCACTCTAGGGTTTGTGTCGAAAGATATTGACAGATTTCGTAGATTATTACGAACACTTGAAATGAACGACGAACGTATTATTAAAAAAATGTATGGAGGTAGCTCTGAGAGCAACATTCTACATTTACTGCAGAAGAAACAAGCCGTGGAATAATCCAGACTTGCTGAATTTTTATTAGCTACTATTGATACAAAGTGTAGAGAATGGACCTATCTGTCTAACATAGTGAACTGTTTCTCTATTTTCCTGATTTAATTGAAAGTCTAATTATGTGATATATTTGTATAAATTATCATGTTATTAATAAAGATTTCTGTTGTTTAAAAAATTATTATTATTATTATTATTGCATGGCCGTCGGAAAGCAAAGTTTGGGGTTGGCATAGACTGCATTTAATTTAACCTTTTGTGATAGATTTATCAACTTTTACTTGCTCTTTGGAAACCTGAATGCCTTTTCAATTTTGATGCTCAGTTAAGAAAGGAAAATTTTGTGTATTGGAGAAGATGGTGGTTTAGTCAGCTATTGGGTCAATTTCAAGAAATATTTATTATACATGATGTCGCGACAGCAGCGATCGAAATTAAAATGGACAGAGCAAATGAATACAGATCTGCTAGAATGTAAGAAGAAAGCGATGGAATTCCTTAAATCGGAAAACCCGCCGCAGAAAGAATGGCTATAAACAAGTTATGAAAGATCTGTGGGACAAGAAAGGAGACGAACATCTTGAATTGAAGAGCCAAAACCTGCGAGATCAAGCCGCTAGACTTGAGAAAATTAACGCTACAGCTGAGACTCGTGCTATCGGTAAGGTAAGCGGCGGAGCGGTTATCATTGGACATTAGATGAAAGCAGACATTATCAGCATATCAGCAGACATTAGATGAAAACCAGAGAAGGCACAACACGATTTCACAACATGAATTTAACAATTTGGAAAATCAAAACACCATTAGTCAAAATGCAAATTTGGAGGTAAACACCAATCTGGATTTGCATACAGACAATGATATTGTCCAAAACAGTCACGAACGGCAAGAAACCGAAGCTGTAGAGGGCTTTGAAGTGGCTAATGACTGTCCTGGTGAACCACACGCCGGCATACATGAAGCAGGACGTCTACCCGACTATGTTGCTGTTGATATACCATCGATTACCATCTTGGGACGCAGAGCGGACGGCTCAATAATTACGGTCAACTCGTCAACCATAATTAATGCATACGATGAAATTACGCGATGGCGTAAAAATACTTTCCTCGTCCCGTATGGCAAAGTTGGGCGAGACTTTATCGACCAGCTAACACAACATATAAACAATTGGAACAACGCATCGCAAACACAACACATAGCGCTGAAAGCTGCAATTGTTCTCTTGGCAACGGCACTGCAAAAGCCAAGCGTAAAATCGAAGGCAAAAGATCACAAAGAGTGCTTGAAAAAACGACTAGCGCTATGGAAAGAAGGAGAAGTCGAGAGCTTACTTCGTGAAGGCCGGTCCATTCAAAAGCGTCTAGCAAGGTCTAAAAGGATGGAGCCTCCAAATAAAGCGAAGATATTCGCCAAGTTGGTCATGGAAGGTCAGATCAATTCTGCTTTGAGATATCTCAGTGAGGCTGATTGTGATGGAGTGCTGCCTTTGACTAACGACGTGATGAGACAGCTTCTGGAGAAATACCCTGAGGCACAAGAGGCCAAACTTGGCTCGTTACTCTTCGGGCCATTTGAGGAAGTGCACGATTCGTTATATCAGCAGATTGATGGCGAAATGATACGCGAGACAGCATTGCGAACCAAGGGCTCCGGCGGCCCTTCAGGAGTGGATGCAAATGGATCAAGCGTATTTTCGCATGTAAATCGTTTAAGAAATCAGGCGTAAACTTGTGTGAGGCAGTAGCAACAATGACCCGACGGCTATGCACGGAATACATTGACCCGAGAACTATCGAGCCTATATTAGTTAACAGGCTTATACCTCTGGACAAAGGCGAGGGCGCGGTTCGTCCAATTGGCGTCGGGGAAGTTATAAGGAGGATTGTCGGGAAGGGTGTTATGAAAGTGATTAAGCCCGACGTGATTGATGCCAGTGGATCGCTACAGGTGTGCGCAGGTCTTAAGAGCGGAAGTGAGGCAGCCGTTCATGCGATGCACTCCATATTTGAAGCAGATGAGACAGATGCCGTACTTCTGATTGATACCTCAAACGCATTCAACACACTCAATCGAGCGGCTGCACTCCACAACATAACAGTTCTGTGTCCATCTATGTCAACCTGCGCAATTAACACCTATCGCGAACCAGCTAGACTATTTATATCTGGTGGAGGAGAGCTCAAGTCCACCGAGGGTACCACACAAGGGGATCCCCTGGCCATGGGCATGTATGCCATCAGTCTTCAACCCCTGATCACCGGATTGAATGTGTCAAGCAATGTTAAGCCGATGTTGGTTTGCTGACGACGCGAGTGGCGCGGGATTTCTGGAAGATATCAAGCAATGGTGGGAACACCTGAATGAAGCTGGCCCTAATTTGGGATACTTTCCAAATGCTAAGAAATGCTGGCTGATCATAAATCCTGGAAAAGAAGAAAGTGCTCATGCTATTTTTGATGGGACAGCGATCAATATCTCTGCGCAGGGGCAAAAGCGTTTGGGCGCAGCCTTGGGTTCTATGGCTTTCCTGGAAGAATACGTCAACGGCAAGGTAGAGGACTGGGTTAGCCAAATCGTAAAGCTAGCTGAATTCGCAGCGTCACACCCTCAAGCCTGCTATGCCGCCTTCACCTTTGGCCTCCGCCATCGATGGACGTATTTTCTTAGAACACTTCCAGATATAGAAGATTTACTGGAGCCCTTGGAGCGTGCTATTGCTGATGTCCTTATACCATCAATTACGGATCATCACTGTACAAAGAGTGAAAGGGATCTCCTGGCACTCCCAGTACGAATGGGCGGTCTTGGCCTTATAAATCCTAGACAGGATGCAGCACTGCAGTACGAAACGTCGATAAAGACTACAGCGCCACTGATAGAGAAAATTATTGCACAAGCCTACGAAATTCCAGATGACACTGTTATTCACACACTGCAGCAGAATGCGCGAAATGAAAAGAACGAAGTACTTCAGGCTAAACGGGATGGTATTAAGAACTCTCTACCCCCGAAAACACGGCATGCTATGGAACTAGCAACTGAAAAAGGTGCATCCAACTGTCTAACAGTTATCCCCATTAAGGAAATGGACTACAATCTGAACCACGCCCGTTTCGAGACGCAGTAAATCAGAGATATGAGTGAAAAATTGCTGATAAGCCATCAGTATGTGTGTGTGGCGATACTTTCAATATTGATCACGCAATGATCTGCAAGCGAGGTGGGTTCATCATACAGCGCCACAACGAGCTGCGGGATCTTGAGGCTGATATGCTTAACATCGTCTGTAATGATGTCGAGGTTGAACCCGTTCTTTAAGAGTTAACTGCCGAGGTTTTACCAAGAGAAGCAAATACACTGCATCCGACGCTCGCCTAGATATCCACGCTCGAGGGTTTTGGGAGAAACAAAGGTCCGCGTTCTTTGACGTTAGGGTTTGTCACCCCAACGCGGAATCCTACAAAGACCTGAGCCCACAACAGATATACAGGCAACATGAAAATGAGAAGAAGAGGATGTATGCCCAAAGAGTGATGGAGATAGAACACGGAACTTTTACACCATTAGTATTTACAACGACCGGAGGCATGAGTGAAGAGTGCAAGAGGTATCAAAGCAGATTGGCCGAGCTCATAGCAGCGAAGAAAAGCGAAGACTACTCTACGACCATGTCCTGGATACGAGCCAAGGTCTCCTTTGCCATCTTGCGGTCAGCTCTACTTTGTCTCAGAGGGACTAGAGCACTCAGGAGGGTAACAACAAACGTTCAAGAAACGGACTTCGAAGTAGACAATTCTCGTGCCAAAATTTAGGCTTAGACTTTTACCATAAATTAACTGCTTACTATAACATATACTATAACATACTACAACAATTCAGATTTTATAAATTATTATCATTATGATTATTATTATTATTATTATCTTAGTTTTATACCTGTAATATAATTTTATCAATAATTAATAGTTCAAGTAATCAATAAAATCATTATTATACTTTAAAAAAAATTATTATTATTATTATTTTTATTATTATTATTATTATTATTATTATTATTATTATTATTATTATTATTATTATTATTATTATTATTATTATTATTATTATTATTATTATTATTATTATTAAGTTGAGGAAAATCTTGCCCACATTCGTTCTTTCGTTCTTGCTGTACGGTGGATTGAACCAAATTATGTTTCGTTTGTAATGATTATGTTAATTTATTTATATTATTGCCTGTATGCTTGGCAATACGCCTGCAAGCCTGAGACTATAAAGAAGCATGTTTTTTTGTTTAACGATAACACAATTTAGTATTGCTGTATTGGGCCTGTTGGTTTTGCTTTATTAAACATATTTTACATTTCTTGGTCATGTCTCTTGATCACAACATGGTGGCAGGAGTAAGTTAAACAATAAAGTTGTCGTTAAGTTCCGCATTTGGTTATATTTAAGCTCTAAAGGTCTGAAAGGTGAAGCGAAATGGACAAATTTGAGCCGCCATCTTGTTTAAGGTTCGAAGGCAATCTTAGTGAAAATTGGCAGAAGTGGCGCCAAGAACTAGAACTCTATCTTACTGCTACTGAGAACGATGGAAAATCTGACAAAATAAAGACATCAATACTTCTCACATGCGTCGGAAATCAAGGCAGAGAAATTTATAATACATGTACGTTTCAGTTCGTCGAAGGAGAGGAAATGAAATTCAAAGTCGTTGTACAAGTGTTTCAAGATTACTGTAGCCCAAGAAAGAATATTACTTTTATGTGCCACAAATTCTTTACATGTAAGCAGAGAAATGGTCAATCTCTTGATGAGTTCGTTACTGAGCTAAAAAAAAGCGTAGTGCTGAGTGTGAGTTTGAAGCAATTTGTGAAAGCCCCATCCGTGACATTATAATATGTGGAATTAATGACAACCGTCTTCGTGAACGCCTTCTTAGGGAGCCAGAATTAACACTGCTGAAAACTATACAAATTGGACATGCTGCTGAGGAGACGAAGAGACATGTAAAAGAGCTCCAGAAAGAAGTTGATGGCAAAAATTCAGTTGACGCTGTTCGTAGAAAGAAGTTAGCAAGAGATGGAAAGAAAAACTCTGGCAAACAATCAGTTGGTTACGATAAGTCCCTATTAAAAATTGTAAGTTTTGCTCATATTCTCGGCATAAACGGGGAAACTGTATTGCCTATGGAAAAAAATGCATGAAATGCTCTAAGTTTAATCATTTTGCAAGGTACTGTCCAGTAAAAAACAAGTCTGTCAAAAACGTTAATTGTGACTCCAGTGACTCTGATGATGCACCCGATGACACATTTTGTGTAGGAAGTGTTAATGTGGGCACTACTGAGAGACAGACTAACCCTGTTATAAGTGCAGAAGAAAGGAACTCAACAACTAAGACAAATGAGTCAAATGAATTTACAATTTTTACTGATGGTTCCGAGTCTGAGTCTGAGTGGACAGTTGACATGCACACTAATGGTAGTAATGTCAGATACAAGTTAGATACTGGTGCCCAAGTTAATGTCTTACCAAAATCTCAGTATAATAGGTTGATACGAAAGCCAAAGTGAAAGAATACGAAAGTGAAGTTAACTGCATATAATGGAACTAATATTAGGCCTGCTCTGGGACCTTAACTCGCCGCGAGATAAAGCGAGCCTAAGCGAGTTAAGGCGAGATAGGGGGAGTTAAGGAAAAATCTAGCTACTGACCCTTGCGAGTTAAGGCGAGATAAGGCGAGTTAAGGAAAAATCTGGATATTGTATACACACTATGTATTGTCAAATTCCTCGGCTATCTGCAAATAAGATTTGCAGCTCTTCACAAAGTCAAAACACAGCTATTCCTGACTTCTTTAATAGTTATAAACATTGTAAAATTTACCTTGTAATTTCGACTTTCGCTAACAAAAACATATTGAGAAAGTTCTTTATCCAAAGAAGGTGCTCCTTTTCTTTAGTTTAGGTTTATTTTTCTTCGTTTTGAATAGTTTTGAAACAGACTTTTAGACACTTTTTGCCGTTTGAAACTCCGCTCTTGTCGCGGTGCAAAAAAATTGCGTATTGCCCGTGGGCAATACGGGAAAATCTTGCCTCGTCAGCAGCCAATAAAATTGCGCGATTCATCAAAACAAAAGCTTGCCGTATAATAAACATATGTTATTTACCGGCTGCGAGGTCCGGATGAGAAAAACTGTGCCCGAGGTCTTGAAAACGGCCCGAGCCCGAAGGGCGAGGGACGTTTTCAAGACCGAGGGCACAGTTTTTCTCATCCGGACCGACGCTGCCGGTAAATAACGTGTTTATTTTTTATCAGATGTAAAAATTAAATTCATTAAAATTCCAGTGTTGCTTGCGAACTAATTTGACATCAGTGCAGTTGAATATTTTCAAAGCGAGGCTGACAAATATTGAAATTTGAAAAGTTGAAAGATATAAAACACGATACGAAAACTCGAGAAAACTGGCAAGAAACACACAAAAAGACGTATAGTTTCAGTAAAAATGTACATGCTTTTTTCATGAATGTGGTATAGAAGAGAAGCTTTGGAATAAAAACTTTTAGGCCTGGCGTTTTGGCTTTGGCAAAATCAGTTGCTCCTGACAACGACACTTCATGTTCAGATCAGATCAGATCAAAAACATATAAAAATGAATCTGTTTTGATTTAATCAACGTTTTTCTATTAAAAGGACAATGAAAAGGGTATGTTGTTTTTATATTTTTGTATTTTTTCTTGTCGTTTCACGATAATATGCTTGAAAAAATTGTTTTTAGTATAAACACAAACTTTTACTTTGTTTACAACATTTATATCAGTGAAAAATGCATGACACAAGTGGGTAGAGAATATATTCGTGACTTGTTTTCACTGCTGCAGTGAAACGTTTTTTAAATGGGAAAACATTTATTTTACAATAACTGTTTAAGCTGTAATTTTTTCGCTTTTAAATGGCCGAATACATGAGCATTTAAAAAATGTATAGTTTTCTCGACGTACGTTTTATACATACGTACGTACGTCGAATAATTTCCCGACTTTCATTCGCATTTCTATCAAAATATTGTCAATTCTGGTGAACATCGTGCTTAGTATGAAGCCTTTAGGGCTTGATGCAATTCATTTTTGTATTCTGACTATCGTTAGGCTATGTTTTTCAAACGTTTTTGGCAGATTGTTTCTTTTAAAAAATTGTTTCACTCCTCAGTTTTTGTCACGAAAGCCAGAGCGGGCAGTTGCATTTCACAGCGGGCAGTTGCGTTTCAGAGCGGGCCGGATGCAAAAAACCGGCACGCTCTGAAAGGCTCCTCAGCCAATCAGATTGCTTCATTTTCACTGATAAAAAATAATGGGTATTACTGTATACAGTATGCCTGCTAAGGCCTGCTTACTGTATTAAAGTAGAGTAGTATGGTGGAATTATTTGATCAATACAGCTTTATGGCATTACAGAGAATGTAGTAAATTAAAAATGTGATAACATTTCAGATAATCAGGCTTACATACTTGTATGTTGATGTCAGTTGCAATGCCAAACTCATATAGAATATATAAGTGAGTATTGTAAGTCTAAAGAATTTTGATTGACAGTATTTGCGTTTTACTGACGTGAAACTGTACCGGTTTTTATTGCAAAATGGGGCGAGTTTAGGCGAGTTAAGCAAAATTCTGTCAACTTCTCATTGCGAGATAAGGCGAGATTGGGCGAGTTAAGCAAAATTCGATCAATTTCTATTGCGAGATAGGGCGAGATAATAAGCAATTATTGGATGAGGCTGAGCATGATATCAAGAATTATTCAGACCGAGGTCAATGTTATCTGCCGAAGCGAAGCTGAGGCGGATAACATAGACCGAGGTCTGAATAATTCTTGATATCATGCGAAAGCAGAATCCAATAATTGTTTTATTTACATTTAAAGACATGAGAAACGTATAGGACGATTCCTGTTCATGAGGTAGGAAAAGTACAATTTGAATATCAAATACCTTGCACAAAGTCAAAGGTCAGCTAAATATTATATTTCTACTTCTATTTACCCCTTTGCGGCTTTTTTCGTGCTTTCACTATCCTTATCTGCCAATAATTTGGAGAGTTCACTTTCATTCAGCGAAGCAAATCTGCTGTCGGCCATTGTTTTTTTTTCCCGCGCTTATAGGTTCAAGCTTTTGGCCACGTAAGGGTTTGGGCACGAGAGAGTCCAATCATTTTTTTTTTGGATGCAAGTTCGATCCAAAAAAACAATTATTGGACGCTGATGACGTCATCGGCGGAAAATACGTAATAAATGCCGAATACTGAAAATTAGCCGGTGCTTTCTGACCAATTAGAAACGAGAATACATATTAAATGTATAATAAGGCGAGTTAGGGCGAGTTAAGGTCCCAGAGTAGGCCTAATATTCCTGTTGTTGGAAAGTGTATTGTTCGATTTGCCCATAAAAAGAATCGTGATGTACCTGTTCTGTTTATTGTCGCAGAAACGACTTCACCACCAATATTGGGTCTTTCTACATGTGAGAACTTAAACTTAGTTAAACGTGTGATGGTAGTAAAACCAAAGGAAGAACAATTGCCCAGCTTTATCTCTGAATTTGAATGTTGCTTTGGAGAACTTGGTACTCTGCCCAAAGTTCACAAGATAGTTATTGACCCTAGTGTTCCGCCAGTTATTCACCCTCCACGGCGTGTTCCTATAACCATCCAACCTAAACTTAAAGAAGAACTCGACAGGATGGAGAAACTCGGGGTTATATCCAAAGTCACTGAGTCGACAGATTGGGTTTCAAGTCTAGTAGTTGTTGAAAAGCCAGATGGATTATTCGTATTTGCCTTGATCCGAAGGATCTGAACCAAGCCATCAAAAGATCTCATCTACACCTCCATACCGCAGAGGATATTATCTCAAAGATGACTGGTGCTCGGTATTTTTCAAAGCTGGACGCTTCTTCAGGATATTGGCAAACCAAGCTTGATGAGGAAAGCTCGAAGTTGTTGTGCTTCAACAGCCCGTTTGGACGTTATAAATTTAATAGATTACCTTTTGGTGTCTCAAATGCATCCGAAATTTTTCAGTTGGATATCGCAGAAATTATTGAAGGTATCGAAGGAGCCGCAAACGCTCAAGATGATATCATAGTTTGGGGTGACACAAAAGAAGTCCACGATCAAAGTCTACACGAGGTGTTGTCTAGAATTAAAGACTCTGGTCTCAAGCTGAACCGGAAAAAATGTCAGTTCTGTGTTACTCAAATCACATTTCTCGGACATGTACTGTCTGGTGATGGTGTCGATGCTGACCCAAGAAAGATTTCCGCAATCATTGACATGCCTGTTCCTCAGAATAAAACTGAACTACAGAGATTTTTTGAGATGTGTAACTATTTGGCTAAGTTCATACCAGATTTGGCCAGTGTTACTGCACCGTTTGGTTGTTTGCTAGAAAAGGACACTCCATGGCATTTTCAAGCCGAGCAAGAAAATGCAGTGAAAAGGCTAAAAGAAATGGTAACGTCAGCTCTAGTCTTGAAGTATTTCAACCCAAAAGATCCAATTAAAGTCACGTCGGATTCGTCAAAGTTTGGTCTTTGAGCTCTTCTTGAGCAACGAGAGGAGGGTAAGTGGAAACCTGTTTCTTTTGCCTCTCGTTCATTGACTCAGTCTGAGCAAAACTAAGCTCAGATTGAAAAGGAGTCTCTCAGTGTTGTATTTGCTTGTGAGAAATTTAAGGAATATCTATATGGACGAAACTTTGTTGTTGAAAATGATCACCAGCCCTTGAAAGCAATATTTTCGAAGCCACTGATTAAGGCGCCAGCAAGAATTCAAAGATTCCTGCTAAGGCTTCAGCCTTATATGTTTACTTTCAAGTTTGTACCTGGAAAGGACATTCCTGTAGCAGATACACTCAGTCGTGCATTCTTACATGTTTCAAATCCAGAAATACCTGAATCTGAACTAAATTGTTTTGTACACATGATTAACGATCAGGGAACAATTTCCAAGTCGAAATTGTCCGAGTTTGCTACGGAGACCTCAAAGGATCCTGATTTACAGAAATTAAAGAATTGTGTACTAAATGGATGGCCAGGCAAGGCGAGACAAGTTGATCCTGCTGTAAGGCCATATTACAGTTTTCGAGACGAAATCACGCTATATGAAGACGTCTTGCTTAAATGTAACAGAATCATTGTACCATCAAGTCTTCGAGATGAAATGCGACAAAAGATCCAGCATGGTCATTTTGGAATAGAAAAGTGTAAAGCTCGTGCCAGATCAACACTTTATTGGCCAGGTATGATTAGTGAAATTGTTGATATTGTTTCTAAGTGTGATGCTTGTGTGGAAAACAGAAATCATCTGCCGTCTGAAAAACTGATTCCTCATGAAGTTCCATCAACTCCTTGGGAAAAAGTGGGAACTGATCTGTTTCAGTTAAAGAATAAAGATTACCTGATTGTTGCTGACTATACATCGAAGTATTTCGAAGTAAGTGCTCTTCCAAATACCCTAGCTTCGACTGTTGTGCAACATGCCAAAAGTATATTTGCTCGATTTGGTATACCTAAGACTGTAGTTAGTGACAATGGTCCTCAATATTCTTCGCATCAATATAAAACATTTTAAGAGTGGGGTTTCCAACATGATACGTCAAGCCCCAGATACCCAAAGAGTAATGGATTCGTAGAAAGTGCTATTCAAACTGTAAAAAAGACGATAAAAGAGGCTCTTAAAAGTGGCGATGACCCTTGCCTTGCACTACTTGCATTACGTTCAACTCCTGGAACTGACAATTCCCCGTCGCCAGCATTTAAGTTAATGAATCGCCATTCACGAACGCCCTAACCTTCAATAAAAACTGAGAAAACATCACCTACTTTGCTTGGGTCACAAAAGGTTAAAGAGTATCACGATCAAAATGCAAAGAATTTGCGACCTCTTAAAGAAGGACAAACAGTACGAATTAGGGATGGTAAATCATGGCATGTGAAGGGAAAAGTAATGGAAAGAGTTGAGCAGCCAAGATCTTATGCTGTTAAAACAGAGAAAGGAACAATCATTCGTAGAAATAGAAGAGATCTTCTTAGCACGCCGGAAAGATTCGATCTGCGTGATGCTGTTGATGATGAAATGGAGATACTACCTAACCCTTTAGCGGTACAACTACCACAACCAAATCAACCAACCTTTACTCCCAATCATCCACCTTTACTCTCGTCAAGATCTACTTCTGATCGTTCTGCGCCGAAGTCAAGACAACCTTGTGTTCGAAACAACAGTGAACTGGGTATCCAAACTCGTTCTGGTAGAGTTGTAAAGCCACCTACTCATCTGTGAGACTTTGTGAGATCATAGTTTTGAACTGAGTCATAGTATAAACAATTATTTCCATATTGACTACAACTTACTATAATCGAGTGAATTGATCAACTGTGAAACCGTGAAAGCGTAAGGTATTATAGAAACACTTATTAACAATTACACTAATAGTCTCATCTAATATATATATATATATATATATATATATATATATATATATATATATATATATATATATATATATATATATATATATATATATATATATATAGCTTAAGGTTTTGGTTTACGAAACACAAACAGTACTCAATACCATATAGATAGAGCGTAATATAGTTTTTCGTTTTACCTCAAAAAATCACAACAGTCTATTTCATCCTATACGGATGTATAGTATGAAATATATATATATAGATATATATATATATATTACAATCTACAAGCATGCATGAGAGTATAGATTTTTTATTTAAATTATTATTAAAATTTGCAACGTTTTGTCCAATTTTACTGCCTGTCTTCGGGCTTTTATTTATATTGTTGTTGTTTTACAATAATCACTATACGAATAACTGCATAGCTTTAACCGTAACTTTCTTAGACTAGCACAGACCATTCAAAATTATATCGCTCAAAGATTTTAACCTTACAACTCATATAGTTTCAATACAATATTCCGCATGGGCAATGTTATTAAGTCAATAATTAATACATGTAGTCGTAGAAGTATACTACTTAAGTATGAATTATAATCGTATACTACAAAAGGATGAATTATATAGTATAAAAATAACACTCGTTTAAATTAAATTTTAATTGTAACATAAACTGCCGTAATAAACTTCTTACGGCAAACATGATTAAAACTGCCTTTTACAAAGCGCTTAAATATATATATATATATATATATATATATATATATATATATATATATATATATATATATATATATATATATATATATATATATTGTATATATACACGTGACCTTCGAATTACTAGGTCGACGCTCTACCAACTGAGCTACTGCACGGTCAGACGGATTTAAGACTGGAAATTATGAAACATTTCATAATTTCCAGTCTCAAATCCGTCTGACCGTGTAGCTCAGTTGGTAGAGCGTCGATCTAGTAATTCGAAGGTCGCGGGTTCAAAACCCAGCCGCGGCAGCCAACATCTTTCTGCTTGCGCTGGGTATGGAAATTATATAATACACACTCTAGAACATTTCCATCTTAATATATATATATCAGGGGCGGATCCAGCTCCTGAGCTGACTGATGCATACATAAGACCTTGCATTTGTAGGGGAGTCCGGGGGTATCCTCCCCCGGTAAATTTTGAAATCTAGGACCTCGGAAATGCGATTTCCTGCGTTCCGAGCGAACTCTTTTGTTCCAATTCATACATCAGAGTCACAAAATTATTTGCTGCATTTTTGGAAAGCACGTAAAAAACTTGAACCTATATCGTAAAAACAACATAATTTCTCTATATAAGAAAACAATATTTGCTTGTGCAAGTGTAATAGCAGCAGTGGTACATAAGTCTCTATTCAAAAATAGTCAGTACTGTGCTTCTTGTAGCCTTAATTTTTCTATTGAAAAATTTTTCGGAAAAAAATCACGAGCAACGCAAATACACACATGCGTGTAATAAAGGTGTATACAGTGTGATCCACTAGTTGCATTGCTGAACTCAGAAGGCAGTATTATTGTGTTGTTTTTTAACCACCTTCCCTTATTAGTTTCCACTAATTTCCAATGTTCCATGAGTAAAATCTTCTAGCATTAGAATGGTGCATAAAGGTATTTTGTGCTCTAGTGGGTAAACTTATTTAAATACAACTCTGTCTTATGCTGCTAATCTTACTCTGTATGGACAGTGTGGTTGACATCAGTTGGTCAATTTCATTAAATTCATTCACCCCTAGCTGCCTTTGACATGAACTGCATGGTGAATAGCCCACACCCTGAATACTGAGAATATTGCCCTGTGACCAGGAAACCAGTAAACTAACACACAACAAGCACTGGGTTTAAAATTCTATTAGTATAACTAGGTACACACAACCACAAATTTTAAATTTATTTATTTATTTATAATTATATTTATCCAGGATACCCACATCACTAATGTGTTTTTCAGTGGGGTCCTGCATAAATCAATAGAGACTGTGTGTAAATTGATTTAATGAACTATCTTAGTTGGAAATTGTTTGTCAAATAAGCCTACCAAACTGTACAATCATGATAAACAATATACCATGACATAATTGAATCATGTCTTCTATCTGTCCCCTTTTGCCTGCCTTTCAACTAATATTAACATAGTATTCTTTTAAGATGTTGTCAATGTAGAAAGGCTGCACAGTAGTATTGATGAATATTTTCCCTGTGTTATTATTATAAATGCACATCTTTGTCAAATATATCCATACACTTATCAATGGTAATCCTCAGGGTATATAGTATTGGGACAATTAGCACTACAAATATATAATGTAATTAAATATATTTTCCAAACTATCCCCCTTTTGTGAGCAAATTTCATAATTATATCCTATATACACCAGTTACAGTTACATACAGTATTTATACCATCCATCATTTTATCATTCTAAGATTAAAATCTGTCAGGAGAATGACATATACAGCTTATATCAAATTATATTTGCACAGACAAAGCATATATACTCAACTATGGTAGGCGAGCAAGCCCAGGTAATCATCTTTGTTTGCAAAATATCCAGTGTACAGTAATTGCCCAATTACTCAGGCAATGCAAAGCAATTAGACTCTTGTCATGAGGCATGCCAGCTCATTTCCATATAAAATGAAAATGAAATGTAATAGGAGATACCACTGGAACTTGCAACTTGAACCAATTACCTTTCAATGTAAACTCCCCCTTAGTCTTCTAACCAATATTGCATCACTATTAGAAATCTCATTAATAACCTGCAATATTATTATGCACTGTAATTACATACAGAGCCTGATGCAAGTCTTGACCCACACCATAGTTTTTTTATTTTTAGTACCGGTATCCAATCAAAATGTGCCAGGAGAAATGTCAATATTTTCACATAATTTAACAACAAGCTAAATATAGTTACAATCACTAAATCTATAATTATTTAATTATATATAGCATTAATTAACCAAAATATTAAAAAAATACATTAAATATGGCCAATCAGAGTTACAACCATAAAGGTAGTTGTAGGACATAAACGTTTAATAACATGTGTATCAGGTCTTCATTTTTCTTTGCCCGCCATCTGTGAGAAAAATGAAGGTCTGGGCACAGGTTATAATCCCATGTAAACAGAGATGAAATTTTCCTCAGTAAAGCAAGCTGTCAAGTTTGGTATTGAGGCTGGTTTGCCTCCAGACAAGCAAACCTCTGTTACTCGGCAAAGACTGTAAAATGTCAAACTACCTCATCCAACCCCCCCCCCCCCTGCTAGTATAAGCAACAATATTAAATAGACACAAACTTTAATTATTATGTTAATACAAACAAATCTGCATTAACTGTGGAGCCCATTTTCCACTTTATACACTTCTTGAACTGAACAATAAACTACAATGTAAAATATAGATAAATTTCACTTACTTTAGAGCCCTCAGTTCGAGTTTGACATTAGTGGGCATCTCACAGTATAAATATACTTCAATTCTTGTACTCAGATGAAAGATTAGATTCATTCCAAGTCTTGGTAATTAATTCGGTAATTTGTTCTCCGTTTTCTCTGTCAATTTCGAGAGATTGTCTCATTTGCATATTTTTGCATATAGTGTTTGCATATCCTTGCCGCCATGACAGAGGAGGTTGGACAGCAGACCGCAAAGCATCATGGGTATTGAGCGCCTAATTCCACGCGTGGCTTTCATTGACTGTTGACTGTCGAGGAGTGAACATCTCTCTGACTACAAAACCAATATGGAAGCTTTCGAACGACAAGAATGTCAGGCTGCGATATTTTGTGAAAACAGCATGTTATTGCTGTATTGTTGTGATCATCATTATGACTTGTGTTTTACTATATCAAGTTTACCTTTTTTTAAATTGCATGGGACGTGTTGTCATTTTAGCTTTACAAATAATCCGTCTGAGAAAAGGAATTGTGTTTAATTTATATTCCCAATAGCGAGGCTCTTCTTTCTAAGTTGGATGGCGTTAAATCTCTGTGTATCATCAACGTGAAAACAAGCGCAGTATTTAAGGTTGGTATACTACAATGCATTACAGTTATCGTGTTATTTTATAGTTAAATTTCCGCTTTGTTGTTTTTATTCTTGTACTTTTAATATAAATACACTGCACAAAATTATGGCGTCTTGTGTTTACAATGCCTCTAGTTTGACCCTATAGTGTGTGTATATGTACTGTGTCACTGTGATACATATGTACATGTTTTGAGTTAAACGAATTGTTTAATACATTTTTGCTGAAGTATGATGCCTGTTTGTATGGATAGATTTTTACATATATGTGCATACAGTATAGTATATTTTTCAATTTTCATCTGTAAAATAATATTTGTGTGTTGTTCTAATATTACTGTAAATAGTGACACACTTTTGCATTAGATTGCTAATTTTAGAGATTACAGTGTATGTATAAAATAATAAAATAAAAATTTTCTTGTTATGATTTTGTAGAAAGAGATCTACTTGAGTGGTTCAGTGGTTGGATGGTCTTGAACCTGGTCAGCATGGATATGGTATTAATGAAGGTGATAGGGCAGAAAGTGGTGACCAGTTAAGTGATCAGGATGAAAGTGACGAGGACGAAATCACCCATGCTGTGCCATTCAAGTGCATTGGTGCTGTTCATGAGAAACATTACCAAGATAATTTGTAACAGGCATGCCTTGCAATTCATGGACAAGATAAACCAGCGAATGTAAGAATACGTCCAAAGCCATTGAATCCAATGGACCCAGGTGCAATAGCAATTGATGTAGACTATGGAACTGGATGGACACATGTGATGTTGGCTATATTATTTGCACCCACTAATTGCTGCATGAGATATCGTAGAGGACTATGTTCAGCATATAAAGTATAGGGTTGACTTTTTTAAAATAGGGTTTTATCCAAAATTTTTCATTAAGGGATGTGGTGAGTGGGTGACTCAAGTGGTAAGGAGGGGCATGAGTGTATGTCGACAGATGTTTGTGATATAATAGTAACTGACTAGGTTTAGCAAGTTATAGAAATGATGTTATTTAAATTGGCTAACTTTTTAGATTTTTTCAGCATTTTTACCTTTCACTTTATTGCCAAACAAAAATGAAAAATCGTTTAATTTAAGTAGGTGTGTATCTATAAGAAAACAATATCTGTCATGTGCACTTGTGCAACTCCCTCAAAATAGCAATATTGCTTTTTTATTGTGTAGGACACCAATATGGTTCTCATTACCTATATCTAAACTTAAAAAAACATGTGCTATAAATAAATGCATCTACCTATTTCGTGACTGAATAGAATTTATTTTGTCAAGCCATGTAATTAATTTTGAAATTGCTGTGATTTTATGTAACCCTTCTGCAGGAATTGAGCCTAAACCCTAAAGCACCAACCCCTAAAGCACCAACCCATCCCCAACAATAAAATTACATCTTACTGTCAATTTGTCTTTGAAATCTGACCACCAATGTTTATTTGTAAGTTCGGAATGTATGTTGTAAAGTTCGACTGCAGTTTGTTTTAAAGTTGGTTCTGTGATAATCGGGCTGAGTTGAATTTAAATGGTTCTTATTTCCAGTCAAAATATGGGTCTCTATTTACTTGTTTCTATATACACCTGTTGACTCTGGATGGTCTTCAGAATTATCAAATAATGTACCTGCATTATAAATGCTTCCTCCTTTAACTTAATAGTGTTCATGCATACTAAAAAACCAAACATGGTGAATTATACTACAGGTATATACAATAACTGTACCAGCCAGGGTGTTAAACCTGGCTTGTCCAAAAAATACTGTGGGTGATGTGTGGCAACTTACATGGTGCTTGAAATGAATTGTCACATGCTGACAATTCAGCATCTTTTCAACAAAAATTATCGAACCATATGAAGTAGATAATGTAAACAGCAGCTGACAACTTTTGAGGTATTCAAGAAATATCACAAAGCTT